GAGTTTTTTTTTGGTGACTGGGCCGAGACCACGTGTACTCGCTACACGCGCTAACCCAGTTTAATCGCAGCTCATCGGAGTCCGCATGCAGTCTAAATCAAGATTCTCATTCTGATCACCATCAGCAGCAGCAGCAGTAGCATCTTAATCAGCAGCATTGCCGTGATAATCACATCACTTTGTTATCGTCCGCAACTCCGATTAGCACGGTTGGCTACTTACGGTGCGAAAGATGTTCAACATACATACAGACGTCAGCAGCAGCATCATCATCATCAACACCGATATCATTGTCCACACCTCAAACCAAGACCATCAATCATCAACAGCACCACCTGATATCATTATCAGCACCCACAACAAAGACCGTCAATCATCAACAGCACCACCTGATATCATTATCAGCACCCACAACAAAGACCGTCAATCATCAGCAACAGCGTCTCTATCATCAGCGACTCCATCATCGTCAACAACCGCAGCAGGAACAGCAGCAGCAGCCCACACATCATCATCATCATCAAGTCTCTGATGAGTAACGAGTGGCTGGCGTTTGTCGAGGGGTGGTTGGATCCGTGGCCGGCTGCACGTCGCCTCGTGCGCAGGGACGGGGGCTGGCTTCTAGTTTATTAAAATCATTACGGGCCACAGGAACGCATTACACGCTGCTCTGTGTACTCTTTAATCAGCACCACGCGTCATTTGTGTTACATCACGCTGCCGAGCGGCGTGGTGAAGTATGGTGAAACACTCGCCGCTCATCGGGGACCGCTCACGATGCCCCCCATGAGCTGATGATGCGGTTTGATGTTTCTGCTCCTGATGACGATGGGTGATAGGAGTTCTAACTGATGATGATGATGATTTTAACGTTCTGAGCCGCCCCTACTGCGGACGTCTGTAAAACAAAATAGATTCACAGCTCATCGGATTCCTCCAGTCTAAATACATCTTCTGATCTCGATAATTATGGTGCTGTTGATGCTGCTGTTGCGTCCTCCGTGCCTAACACGGCGTGGGAGTTCTTCACCCGGCAGTTGATTTACACAAGAGCTGTTATTCCCAACTCAGATCCACTACATCATCTCTGTAGCCCCTCTGTGTGTGTGTGCAATCAAGGGACATTGCCCGAAACGTTGCCCGTTTCTATACATTTCATATGAAGGCCGCACTGTAGTTGACACAGAACCTGTTGAGTTATCTGGAATCTTTCGATTTAAAGCTTTAGTGATTGCAGGGATTCATCTTCTTGGTTCTTTCGGTAAAGTCACGTAGAAGGAAAATAATAATATAATAAAAATCAAACATAATGAAATAATTCTCACGACGTTTCGACATACCTGTTCTCCACCTGAAGACGGCTGCTTGCGTTGTGGCCGAAACGTCGTGAGAATTATTTTATTATGTTTTATTTTTATTATTTTATTATTTTCCTTCTACGTGACTTTACCGAAAGAACCAAGAAGATTATCTGGAATCGTCTCATATCGCTGTTTTCCACCCACCATAACACGCGTATTGTTTTGGGGTTAGATCGCGTCAATATAAATGTGTCGTTAAACCCGCCACCACCCGACACAGCCAACTAGTAAGCGTTGTCACGTGAACAGAACGTGCCAATTCGTCACTAGGACAGCACAGAGGTCGCAAACGGGTTTTGATTCCTTACCCGTACCCGTACCCGGCTGCACCAGGGTCGCAAATGGGTACCCGTACCCTACCCGAAATGAGTGACAAACGGTGACTCACCAGTGACTCACGGCCTACCCGTACCCGGCCGCACCAGGGTCGCCACTGGCTACCCGTACCCAGTCGGGTACGGGTAGACGGGTATCGGGTAGGGTACGGGTATCGGGTACCCGGTTGCGACCTCTGGTACAGCACCACCGCTTGTGTGTTGGAGAGCAAATCCACAACAATCCACAAGGCGACAGACGACGTGTTAAACTTCTACCTTCCCGCTCCACTCGGCCACGTGTCAACTTCGCTTCCAACGTCTCAACCTCCCCACCGAGCCCCCAGGCTCTTTCCTCCTGCCTCCCCAACCCCCCTCTGCTCCACCCCACGTGTCTACCTCTCACTCAACATCTCCCTCCCCGCGTCACACCTCAGATATCCACTCCTCACCCACCACGACGACTCCAACATCCCGCTCTTTCCTCCTGACCCAGATCTCCCGCATTCTCTCGACTCCTCTCCACCGCATGTCTCTTCTCCACCCTTTCGCGATCTCCATCCCTACCCCCACTGCCCTACCCCCATGTCTGCTCCCAGACCTCCCGTCTCCCCCTCCAGCCGACATCTTCCCCCTCTCTTCTCTCCCTGCGCTCCCCCCGCCCCTCCCAGATCTCCCTCCTCATCCCTCCCCTCCCTGTTCGACCAGATCTCCCTCCCCCTCCGCCCGGTCTCGTAAACAACTTTCTCGACCGCAAGCCTCTGCCAACTCCTCCCCACTCTCCCTCTCTGTGTTCCTCTGCCCGGCTCTCCCCCATCTCTCTCTGTGTTAGTCTCTCCATCTCTCTCCTCTCTTGTATTTCGTATTTTCAAATCGGAATCGCCTCCAGTGCTGTTGCTGCTAGCAGCAATACTAGTTGTTTAAAAATCAAAAGCCTGTGTGAGTTTCTCCATCTGTCCCCTCTCGCTGTAGCTACCCCCCCCCCTCCGTTACTCTCTCCGTTACTCTCTCCCTCTGTGTTACTCTCGTTACAATTCCCAGTCCCCCCCTCTCTCCGTTACTCTCTCTGCTACTCTCTCTGTTACTCTCTCTGGTTCTCCCCTCTGTGTTTGTTTCTGCAGCTCCCCCCCCCTATATTCTCTTGATGTCAACCCTTTTGTCAAATCCACCGCTGGATAAAGGCCTCCCCACATCGTGTCGGTGCAAGGGGGTTGTTTTTTCCCCCTTCTTCTAGCTATACTTCACCGCGCTGGTCAATAAGTGCGGATTGGCGACCAGGGATGGAGGTGAGCAGGGAGTTGGTGGTCTACAGGAGCCGTTCAGACGTCGCTGGCCGCTGGCGTGAGCCGTGGCTGGGAACACGAAACGCAACTCCGTCCGGCTCGTAGCGCAGTGTGAACGCATCACCGCCCCATCTCCCTTCTCGCTCTCTGTCTCTCTCGCTGTCGCCGCTCTCCGCTATCCCACAACCGCATCTCCAGACCCTCTCTTGAACAAGACAATGACAACCACCGATTCAAAAGATCAACAGCCACAGCCGCACAGCCACCACCCGCTCACCCCCACCGCCACTGACCCCCACCACCAACTCACCCCCACCACCCACTCACCCCCACCATCAACTCTCCCCCACCACCCACTCACCCCCACCACCCACTCTCCCCCACCACCAACTCACCCCCACCACCACCAGCAACCCCCACCCACTAACCCCCACCACCAACTCACCCCCACCACCAACTCACCCCCACCACCAACTCACCCCCACCACCCACCAACCCCCACCATCCACACCCCCACCACCCACCAACCCCCACCACCCTTTCACCCACCCCCACCACCCACTCCCCCCACTATCCACACCCCCAAAACCCACTCACCCCCACCACCCACTCCCCCCACCCACCCCCCACACACCCCCAACGACCACCACACCCAAGTTCGCGTCTCAACCCAGGTCACGTAAACAACCTCCACTGCATCGATTGAAAGCGAACAGAGACAAAGGCGGCCGGGTGGGTGAGGGGAGGGGTGAGTGGGGAGGAGGGGGTGGAGGAGGAGGAGGGGGGAGAGATGGCGTCACAATCGTAATCGGTATCATTAAAATCGTAAACAGCAGCCAATAACCACAGTGATTACAACAGCTGCAACAACAACAACCAATACATGCATCGTTGCAACAACCACGACAGCAACCACCAACAATAACCACAACAACAACCGCCCTACGCAATACAACCAACACCACAGTAGGCAATACAATGCAATGACAACAACAACCACCACAACAATACAATGTTTATCCCAGCCACGAACAACCAACTCATACACCCACAGACACCTTTACTACAACAAAGACAGAGATCCCCCGTATAGCCTTTAACAGACTGTTGGGGCAAGTGCTGTTAGCGAGCACCTATGAAGGCCGGCACGGCACACGAGGGGGTGGGTGGCCAGCACCACGCCCGGCCGCCTTTGTCTCCCCAGTGACGATGTTTACACAGCGCATGCGTTTACGCACCGGACCAGGCCACTCATTCGACCCAGCACCGGTTCAGATAATCGTCACTGGCGTTGGCCGTGAGCGAGAATCGAACTCGGATGGCCGCGTTCGTAGCGCAGCGCGAACCACTCCACTCCCACCACAGGTCCTCACAATCCCATCTCGAGGCTCGTCACGTACTCCGCCAAGTCCGTGTGCTTTTAGTAACGTTATGCAAATACAAATGTAGCCCATCAGCAAGAATAAAGTAACGTGTGTGTGTGTATTCCCCACGCGGTGTTGGTGTGGTGATGGCACACCACCGATGGTTTGTGAGTACATTGCACGGTGTGTTCACGTGTGTGTGTGTGCACGTGTGTGTGTACGTGTGCGTGTGCACGTGTGTATGTGCACACGCCTTTGTGTGCATGCAAGTGTGTAAGTGGCTCGCCGACAGCACTTGCCCCAACAGTATGTTTGGGCTATACGGGACCACTTTGTCTTTGTGCAGGCGAGTGTGTAAGTGCGTGTGCACATGGCGTGCGTGCGCGTGTGTACGTGTGTTGCAAGTGCCTTAGATGCAATGTCGCTGCTGTGCACTAATGAGTAGTGCGTGTGTCAATGTGCACGCTTATGTAGTGTGCATACTCCGGCTTGCGTGCACAGAGTTTGGTATACGCGCGTTCCGTGCATGTGTGTGTGTGTGCAGTATATGTGTACACACGCAGGCGTGTGTCTGCACCGCGTTAAGAATTCTATTCGCGCACGCACAGAGACAACACGGACGCGCATACACACAAGGAGACACAGACGACGCACACGGACATGAGCACTGGGACTCACGTTCGCCTTGATTGCCGGGTCACGGCGCCGGCCTGAGACGGGTTTGCCCACTCAGCTCCTCGCTCCAAGCTGCACGTCAGTCCGTGCGAGGTGACTGGCGCTCTTAAAGGCGGAGAAACCTCCCCACCCCCCCTCTCTCTCGCTCTCTCCTCCCTCTCCCTTCCTGCCTGTCCGTGTTGTGTCACTCTCCCCTCCCTCCCTCCCTCCCCTCCCTCTCTCCCTCTCTCTCGCCAAAGCTCTGACTGTAATTTACTGGCTCCGGCTTTAAAGCGAGATGAACTCCATCACTCCAAACTCTCCCATCACTCAGTGCGCTCTCTTCCATCACTCATATCTCGCACAACTCCCTTCCCATCACTCCATGTATTCTATCACTCCCTTCCTTCCCATCACTGCCTCCCATCATTCTCTCACTCTCTCACATCACTGCCTCCCATCATTCTCTTCCTCTCTCACATCACTGCCTCCCATCATCCTCTCACTCTCTCACATCACTGCCTCCCATCATTCTCTCACTCTCTCACATCACTGCCTCCCATCATTCTCTCACTCTCTGACATCACTGCCTCCCATCATTCTCTCACTCTCTCACATCACTGCCTCCCATCACTTGGACCTTCTCCCATCAAACTCTGCCATCACTTGTATCACTCCTTCGTTCACTCTCTCCATCACATTCCATCCTGCACATCCATCCCATAACTCACTCCACCCATCACTCCCATCACTCGCCACACCCATCCCTCCCATCACTCCCTCCACGCTGATCTCTTCAACCAATCAACATCTCAGTGTCACCTCCTATTCCCCTTCACGGCTAGACGCGCTGTCATCTATTCACGCTCACGCCATACCAGATCGGAGGATGTACCTCGACACCATCGCCAACTCTGTGCTCATCCTGAAACTAGAGGTCGCCACGATTCAGAAAATATTCACGTTAAGTCAATCATCATGTGGTCGATAAATAAAACTATCCGCAATCGTTGTATCTTGAATACTTAAAAAAATTTCATACTTTTTGGTTCTTTCGGTAAAGTCACGTAGGTAGAAAAATAATAGATCACGACGTTTCGATCGCAACACAAGCAATCGTGATCAGGCGAGACAATCACAGCAGGGAAACTGCTGACACGGGCGAGAGAGCTGCCGTGTCACGCAGGCGAGAGAGCTGCCGTGTCACGCCTGCTTCAGCAGTTTCCCTGCTGTGATTGTCTCACCTGATGATGGCCGTTTGTGTTGCGATCGAAACGTCGTGATCTATTATTATTTTTCTTCTACCCACGTGACTTTACCGAAAGAACCAAAGAGTATGGATTCCTGCAGTCACGAAAGCTTCAAATCCAGATTTAAACATTTCGTCCGGCCAGAGAAATGTGGAATTACCACCACTGGTGGAATGAGCACCACCCCATGGCTGGTTTCGGGAAGAGATCTCTTTGAGCGGTTTTCTAGTCCTTGATTTCACCACGTAAGCCTCAAATTTTTCTCTTCTTGGTTCTTTCGGTAAAGTCACGTAGAAGGGAAATAATAAAATAATAAAACATAATAACATACAATTCTCACGACGTTTCGGCCACAACGCAAGCAGCCGTCCTCAGGTGAAGAACAGGGCTGTCGTGTAGACAGCGTCTGAATGTAAGCCTCGCCGAGTCCCAACGCTTTTTATTTCCAGGAGGGTGATGCCACCCTGAGATGTTTGAATGTTCAGAGTCCGGGAGGGGGCAACCCGCGAACACGGAGACCCCCCCCCCCAGCACGCTCGATACGAGGGGCCACCGTTGTGGAGCGATTTGCCGATTCCCCCTCTCCCTGCCATCACTCCCTTCCATCCCTTCCATCATGCCATCTCTCCCATCCCTCCCTCCCCTCCTCCCTTCGTGCCTCTCACTGTCCCCACCCCCTAACCGATCATGCCTTCACTCGTTCCGACCACTCCACCATCACTCTCTTTCATCCCTCCCATCACTCCATCCCACCACTCTACCATCACTCCCTCCCTCTCATCATCCCCTTACCTGCCATCACTTCATACCTCCCATTACTGACTGCCCTGGCCCCACCAATCCCTCGCTCCAAAATCCCCTCCCCCTCCTTCATTCTCTCTCAACCTCCCATCACGACCCCTCCCTTAACTCTCCCTTGCATCCCCCTCGCCCCCATCCCAGCTACCACACTCCCTTGTACTGGTGCGATGTTGCGGTTGGATGTGTTGATATTGCTGGGCCCTGCACGCTCGCGCTCTCTCTCTCTCTCCCAGCTTAGTCACCTCTCTCATCCTCGCATCTCATTTCAAATCCCCCTCTCCACCCCTCCCCTCCACCCCCCTCCACCCACCCCCCCCCCGCCCCCCGCGGGCGAGGGTGCGTACGTGAGCGGCAACGCGTCCACACGGAGAGCCGCCAGATTCGGGCAGGGGGTAGGGGGGGGTGATGGCGATGTTGGTGATGTTAATGGTGATGTGGTGGTGACGGGTCATCGTCGTCGTCATCAACATCACCCTCGCCATCATCATCACTCCGCTCGCTCCTTTACCATCATCACTTTTTGCATAAATCACTCTCCGCGATCGTGATGGAGGGAAGCTTTGTCACATTATTCGAGCACGTCGTCATCAGCTCCAATCCTCCCAACTCCCATCCCTCGCATCCCTCCAATCACTCCCATCACACACTCCCTTCACTCTCTGCCATCACCACCACCGTCATCGTTATGGTCCTTATGATCATCATTATGCGTTAATGACCGTGGTGATGCTGCTAAGTATAGTAATGGGGGAAGTTTTCATGACCGTGGTGGTGATGCTGATGATTATGGTGATGGTGGGAGTGTTAATGACCGTGGTGGTGATGCTGATGATTATGGTTATGGTGGGAGTGTTAATGACCGTTGTGGTAATGCTGATGACTGTGGTGATGTTGGTAATTATGGGGCTAGTGGATGGTGACAGTGATAATGGTGATGATTGGGAGATCATGCTGATTATGATGGTGATGATAGTTACGGTGATGATGTTGATGGTCGTGATGATGATAGTGGTGGGAGAATGATGAATAAATATCAGTTGTGTTGTGTGATATGTGCATAACATTTGTGCGTGTCCGAGTGTGAGAATGCGCCTGTGTATGAGACTACATTTTGCAAACATTAATACTGGGAAGACAAAGGTGGCCTGAAGTGGCGCTGGCCACACCACCCCCTCGAGCGCTCTTGCCACCTCAATAGGTGCTCGCTAACTTTCCTTTCCCCCAACAGTCTATGTAGGCTGCCAGAATGAGAATCCGTGTCTTTGTGTGTGCGTGTGTGTGCGTGGGGAGCGGTGGTGTGTGCGTGTGTGCGTGTCTGTGTGTGTGTGCGTGGGGAGCGGTGGTGTGTGCGTGTGTGCGTGTCTGCGTGTGTGTGCGTGGGGAGCGGTGGTGTGTGCGTGTGTGCGTGTCTGTGTGTGTGTGCGTGGGGAGCGGTGGTGTGTGCGTGTCTGTGTATGCGTGTCTGTGTGTGTGTGTGCGTGTCTGTGTGTGTGCGTGCGTGGGGAGCGGTGGAGCAGCGGTTAGCGCTACGCTGTGCTACGAACCCGGTTTACCCGAGTTCGATTCCCGCTCACGGCCAAACACCGGTGACGATTAACTGAACCGGTCCTGAGCCTTCCCCAGGTCGACTCAGCCTTAAATGAGTACTTGGTGCGGTGTGTAATAAACATCGCCACTGGGGAGACAAAGGCGGCCGGGCGTGGTAATGGCCACCCACCCCCGTTGTGTGCCGTGTCGGCCTTTATAGGTGCTCGCTCATAACACTTGCCCCAACAGTCTACTAAGGCTTTTTGGGGGGGGGAGTCTTTGTCGTATATCGGAATGTATCTGTAGATTCAATTACGCAACCCTTGCCCTCAATGCACGGGGAGCGGTGGCGCAGTGGTTAGCGCACTGCGCTACTGACCCGGGCATCCCGGTTCAATACCCGGTCACGGATGACGTCGGTGGTACCGTGACATCTGAACCGGTCTTATTCGGCGCACTATGTCACCGTATTCTCCGCGATTATAAGACGCGCCGGTAAGTATAAGACGCACTCAAACTGCGTGCCCGGTATCGATTAAGTTGTGCAAGTCTGGTCTCACAAAGCACACCCACGCACACGTACCGAATCATAAGACCCACCTCCAACTTTTACTTTAAAATTCAAGGGAGATGGTGGTGGGGGGCAGTGCGTCAGTGCGTCTTAGAATCGGGAGAACACGATATTTCGACGCGTGCTTACATTACCGGACAGCTGTAAACTTCAATATCGGTGGCCACTGGGGAGACAAAGGCGGCCGGGCGCGCGGGACTGTAACTGGTCTTTGCCACCCCGACGTGCAAGACAATCCTGTCCCCGCGTGATAGGCGCTCGCTAACACCGGCTTATAGGACACGTAACGGACGCGCCTTTTGAAGTTGTTGGTCTTTGTTGTGTTTGGGTGTGGATGGTTGACGGTGATGAGTGGGGGGGAGGCGTTGGGGGGAGGGGCGGTGGGGAGCAGGGGGGTAGGGAGGGGTGAGGAGGGGTGGTGGGGGGTGGGGAGGGGTGGTGGGGGAGGGGAATGCTTTTTTGCGTTCACAAATCGGGTCATGTTTGACGCATTTTGTTGGTGATGGGGGTAAGGATCGGGGGTGGTGGTGGTTGGTTGGTGGTGGGTGAGGGGGGGGGGCTAAGTGGGTTATGGGGTGGGGGAGGGGTGGTGGTGGTGGCGGCGAGCAGCGTGAGTGATGATGGTGGGTTTGGGGTGAGGGGTGAAGAGGGTGAGTGGGTTGAGGGGTTCGCCCCCACTTTCAGAGACCGGTCTGAACCAGACGAAACTCAACTTGTCTCAAGGGAGAATGCTGATGCAGGGGATATTACAACAACATGGTTTGTATTGAAATTAAAATAAAGCCACGTGATTGGTAATTCTATTACACTAAGCTACATCGAATGCATGCATACACACGTGGGCTTGGAGACGCCTTCATCCAGCAGTGGATTGACCATGACTGACGTTAGCCGGTGGGCTATAATCTAACACTTCAGTTACTAATATCCGGCCTTGGTGCAAATGGTCAGGGCACCCACCCCCGCGACT